GTTCCTTCACTGGTTGGTGTACCCTATATAGGATTACTTAAAGTCCCAGTTCACCTGAACCAGAAAAATATGACAAATAAATTAAATTTCATGAACACCGTTTTTATGTTAGAACTAATTTGCAAGATTTACTCTCCTGATGACCTGTTGGAGAACAATGTCCAACACCATGTATAGTACCGACAGTACTCCAAGAAACTAAGACAAAAATTAAAGTATAAAAACAAAATTGTAAGCTAAATAAAAGTCATTTGACCTCACTAAGCAAAGTACCAAGCAGAAGTAGCAAATTGCTGTAATTTTTTATACCTTATAATTTTTACATTTTTTTAAATCTTAATAACTGTACCAAATGTTTGTTTGAAAGTAGTAAAAAGAAGTTTATGAAAATTCTATCTGGAGTCTATGTCCAATTTTTTTTTCTGTAAATGAGCATGTGTCAGTATCTGGCCAGTCTCAAGTGTCTATTTTCTTCAACAGCTGAGTTAGAAAAAATATTTTCTGACTTTGGATTCGTTCAATCCAAGCTGTGCTGCTGACGGCCTAAACGTGGGTGGTTAACCACGAAAAAAAATCTGCAGAAATCAAAAATCATAAATCTGAAGGAGGAAAAAATTATGGCTTTTGAGAATATCTGCAATAATCTGCTTAAAACAAAATTGTCTAGAGCTATGAAATTTTGTTGTTTGCAATTAATCTACGATAATTTTTCTACTTTTTGCGCAATTTTAGAAGGAATTAATAAAAATCCAAAACAATTTGATTGAAACGACTATATTCTTGTATGGAAATACTGTATTGTTTTTATGGAAATTAAATCATCATGAAAATTAAATAAATGCTGAACATTTTGTTCTTTCATAAACAACACATCTTACCAAGAAATTAACAAAGAGGAATTTCATTTTTTTTTCTAGCTTTCAGAAAATTAACTTTCTCTCTTTATAATGTAAACTTAAGTCTGTAATTTCGTGAGGGAAAGTTTTTAGTGCTTCACGTATAGGATGCTAAGAAGGCAATAAGAGACTAATTTAACTTTAAGTTGCAACGTTGGAACAATTTTATTATTTTATATTGAAGTATAAAGTTTCAATTTTATATATAGTACTGATATCTAAATGTTACTTTTTTTTAATTTAATTATAAATTCATGCATAATTTTATTAATATTACATACCTGTGTAGAATTAAGCTGTATGTGCCTCTTAAAATTGTGCTGAATAAGTTTTCTTAAACGTCAACTAGTAAATATTTTTGTGTTTATTTATTTTTATTTTTTTTTTAAATTTATTTTTTAAACCCTGAGCATATTCATAATTACACAAATATGCATTTAAAAATTGGAAGACAGTGTCTACTAGCATCGAATGATTGCTTCCCTTTTTGATAAAAGTGGGCTTTTTCTAAATTAATACAGTTATAAGTACAAAAGAAAAAGTTTTAGTAAAATGATTCACTGTTTACTTTGTTAATACTTATTTTATATAAGTATTTAATTTATTTTGTGTAATTGGAAAATGTTAATTCAAAAACTTTTGTTGTTAAGCTTTGTGTTTTTTATGTTATTAATAATCTGTTTGTGAAATACTTTTTACTTTAATTTAGTATTGATGCAATTGCCCCTACCTTGATGATGAAAATGCTTACAAAAATTAATAACTTACCAAAGGTAAGGGGTCTTTTATACTTCAGATCTTATTGAAGGAGACAAATGAATATGTTTCATTTCTTTTAAATTTTAGGTGCATTCCAGCTACAAAAAACTAAGCAAGTCTGAAATTGAAAATATTATTGGATGTATACGGAATGCCATAAATTCCATGCATGTCTTATACATTATTTAGATAATGATTCACATTTTAATAAACATGTGATCCTTCATTTTATGTGCAACAAAAACACTATGGAATTAATAGGGTTATCTTGGAGTTGAATTTTATTGCAATTTTTATAAATCACTTAGAAACATTAGTAAAGTCTATCATATAAAAATAAAGAAACTTTAAATTTATTCCCTTAAATGTTTTTATATTTCTAAGAGTTTTTTTTCAGTTAGCACAAAAACTTAGAGAGTGCAATACAAATGTTAGAGAGTATAGAGTGATATGAATATTGTTTGTTTGTAAAGTGCAAAAGATAACTTTTTAAACTTCATGCCTATGCAGAAATGCTATCATACACTTATTACATAATGACTAAAATATTTCAGAAGCTCTTAGCGATATGTTATCTAAAACAAAAAGAAGAAGAAATATGTGAAAAATCTTAAGTTGAAATTAAATATATTTAAAGCATAAAAAAATATTAGATAAAAGAGGAAAATTTTCTAAATTACTTAGTTTTTAAAATAAAAGAGAAAGAAAAAAATTCCCATTTAAAAGAGAAAAAGTAAAATTACGAAATTTATTCAATAATTTGTGTATAAAAATATCCAGATGGAAAAAAAAGAAAATATAAATAATTTTAAAAGAAATACAAAAATGGCTGAATAATATTAAAGTTGACTTTTAATTAAAGAAATTAAATGTTAACTGAAAAAGTGGATGGAGAATTTGTCTTTCTTCGTTCATTAAGCTTTTGAAATTAAATTTATTTTTTTTCTGACGTTTAAAAAGCCACATAATATTTTTTGGCATTTCTGTTTTAAATCAGAGTGCAAATATTATTCTTATGTGAATTTCATGGCTGTTGTAGATTCTTGTATGTCGCAATTTAAAACATTTTAAGAAAAGGTAGATTTTTCAAATTATTTTGCCAAAAATCGACCTGAGGAAAATGAGATGCATTGTGTAATAAATTGTGTGAATTTCATGATGAGAAAAAAAACAGGATGTTTAACACTTTATTTTGTACAATTTAGTTAATAGAATGTCTTAATTTGTAAAAATACTGCAAATATCAGAAAACAATCTTAACATATTGTGTCATGAAAAATTAATTATTATTCGAAAATTTTTCTTTCTCTTACTTTTAAGAGTTTCAATATTTATTTCACATTAAATTTGATGTCTCTAACTGCAACTGTTTGCACTCACTCCACCCATAAAATTCTTGTGTGGATTATCAGTTTCATTTTGCTGTTAATTTTCTTTTCCTGTTTTAAAATTATCAATATTTTTTTAGACTTTAAAAAGCCCTTAGCAAGAGAGTGTTTCTTCCTCTTAAGATGGGAGTAAAAGGGATTCCTCTCTGTTTCATGCAGTGGGAAAAATTCTTTACCCAAAGAGTAAGTTTTGTTTATTTCCTATGGGATTCAATATTGATTTTGGCACTTGCTAAATAATTTAGATGATGTTGTTTATTTTATTTAGGTGATGCTTCAAATAAGTCAAATCACAACGTACTTCCTACTTGTCTAAAAATGTTTGAGAAGAATCCTTTCATTTCTAATCCTGAAGTAAACAATTCTGAAATAAATACTCAATTCAAATCTAAACTGCTTTCAAGTCTAAGCCACACTCCAAATTCTTAACACGTTTTGTTTCACGCAAAAAGTAGTGTAAAAGGTTTTATTGATATCAGACATAGACTTCAGGAATTGAAACCATGATAGCCTGGTTGGTTTGGCACTGCACTCAATTTCATGAGAATGGGAGTCCGAATCCAGCCTGCCGAAGACTCTCTGTATTGTAAATGGTGACTGGTGTTCGTTAAGTCTGCCAGGTCACAAAGTCTTCCATGTCCCAATAACAAATTATACCTCTGGGGGTTTTGGAAAGGAGATTGATCATTCTATGATTCTGGTCAAAATTAGGATATGTGAATAAATGGAAGGTTGTATGAATGGATTCGCCTTATAAACAGGTGTGACAGAAGTTGAATTCTTGGCTATAGATGGCCCACTGAAAAACAAGAGCAATTGCATCACTGAGTGCCTTAATGGCCAACGACAACAACAACATGGAATTTTTTTAACAATTTACAATGAGAACTAATAAAAAGTGAATAATTCATTTGTTTTACCATTCATTTGTTATAAATTTTTTAATGCATATATAAGCCTTTAAATGCTCTAACTGTCATTATTGTATCATGAAAATGATTTGTCATCTCCCACTGTTACATCTGATTTCGAATTGGTACTAGTGTTACCATTTTCCCATGTGATGTCATCTTTTGTATCTTACAATGCATTTGTTATGTGAGATTTGTTTAAGACAATGTATTATACTCTATCTGTAAGCTTTTTCACTCCCAACAGGTATCCATTCTGATTTTTTGACTCACAAATTTTTGCGCTTTTGATTCTAAGCTACTGTTTAAAGTCGAATATATTTAACTTATAATATACTGTACTCAACTATAAAATTGACACTCAAAATGGTGACCCGTTCGCATGGTCTAAATTAAATTGCACTTCTGAGCAAGAAATCGCTGCATTGTAAATATATAGAATTACAGTAAATATTTACTCATAAATGCAGAACTTATTTTGGCAAAAATTTTATTCTTTTATGCTAGTTATGATATATTTCCGCTAAATAACGTATGTCCAGAATCTTAAATCTGAGCAAAAATAAAGTAAAAAAGAATACATGATTTATCTCCAAAATAAATTATTTATTACAACACCTTTTAAAATGATTGAGTACAATTTTTAAACATGAAAAATATGATTCATGAAAGAAATGTACTAAGGTTATTAATGTATCGCACACAGAAGACTGCACAAGAATGCATTACACATTTTTAAATCTTAATAATGAAGAGTAATTTAAATTCCACCATCCTTTTTTTTTCCCATAGAATACGTTGTGGGATTTATTTATCGACTATGTCTACCGTCATCCATCAAAACTTACCTCATGATAGAGTCAAGTTAACATGTCTTATATAATAGTGAATTGGTATTTAATATTTATAGTGGTACTTACGCCACATTATTCCCCTTCCGGAATTTTATCTGTGATAGAATTCGATGAACGACTACCACTAGTTGATTCATGCTGTTTATTTATTTATAACATTTTTGCTCGTTATATTTTTTTTTCCCTTCATTTTTTTTTTTCGTTTATAGCATTTTGCTCCTATTTTTCTATATTGATTATTACCGGGAGACTTTATTTACTTCACCGGATCTTTTTTTTTCTTTGAGCTGTTTATATTAAGCAAATCAACTGTTTTAATGTGGACCATCCATCTTGTCACCATTGAGGGGAATTAATTATCGACTATTGTCAACCTTCATCTATCAAAAGGTACCTCAAGATAGAATCAAGTTAACATGTCTTATATAATAGTGAATTCGTATTTAATATTCATAGTGGTAGTTATGCCACAACGTCTAATTTAAGAAATGATGATTCTTTCGTACTTTTATGTGGAATTCAATATGTTCTATGTTCATTTGCCCTAATGTCAAAAGAATAGGTGGACTTCCATGAAACTTTTGCTATCCATTGAATTTTTGCCTATGAAAAAATTTTTGTTTTGAAAGAGCAAAAGTATTTAACTCCTGTTTTTGACGTGGTTTTCTTACAAAAAATTAAACAAAAATTTCATGTTATATTGGAATGAATAATTCAACATTTATCAAAAGTAAGATTAACTTTCATATTGAAAATATACCAAAATGTTGCATTTATATGAAAACATCTGATATTTTTGTTGTTTTTGAAAATATTATGATTTTTACTACTACTGAGTGCTTTCATCTTTTCATTATTTTAAAACCAAATGTTTAAAAGAGCAAAAATGTTTAGCACCTGTATTTGATGTGATTTTCGTATAAAAAATTAAACAAAAATTTCATATCATGTTGGAATCAACAGTTCAATTCAGATTTTCTAACTCACGTTAAAATAACATTGTGTCTATGAAATAGATGTATTGGTAGCAGTAATGACTGTATTTAATAATTATAGCCTTAATTCATTTACTGGTGTTTTATAATCTTGTATTGTATATTTTTAGGAGGTGTTTTATACGACATCAATTTCTGCAGAATCTTTTACTTTGCTTTTGAAAGAGAATTCCCTTTGTTGATGACATTGAAGCTAACTTTGAATGTGCACTTTGGTTAAGTGATGCTGATTATGTGAGTGCTCCATGGATTGTATGTATCTTTTTTGAAACTGCTAATAATATAATTAAAAATTTTGAGAAATAGTGATCAAAGCTCTTATGTATCTTTCAGTTCACAAATGTTTGAGAACAATAACCCCCAAAATAATTCTCTTCTGAAAGCCAATCACTCTGTTTTTATAGTTACATTTGCTTAAATTTCAATGGAGTGCCCATTAGTTTTTCCAAACTTTCTTCTACTCAATTTTTGCTTTAACAATTACTACTCAATTAACAATTACTAATGCTCTACTCAATTTTAACTTTACTCATTTAGAAAGTAATGTAAGAATTTCAATACCCAAAGGCTCTGTGATTGAGGAGTTTTTCTAATGTTATTTGTTCATTAAAGAAACCATTTCGTAGAAACTTTCTTGACAAATTCTTGTTTCTTAATCAATATGTTTCCTGTTAAAAAAAATCTGCTACTGAAAGTCATGTGACATTTGATTTATTTGCAGTACTCCACTCCCTAATTTTGGAATCACTTGTTTCTGTTGAATTTTTTTTTCTGCGTTATTTAATATAGTTAAGGAAAATCTCTGAGCAGTATAATAAGGAGTTTTTAAAGTCACATATTCATATGTCTGATGATATGCATTACATTTTTCTTCCTTTTAAAAATCATCAAATTGGTCTTAGAGTTATTAAATTTAATTTAATCGTTATTTTCTGAAGAGAAACTTATCTTGATCATAAAAAATCATGTCATATCAAATCATATCACAATCAGAACTTATCATGAAACTAATCACATAAAAATTATAATTTCTTGCTGCCATGTACTCTTCTGTCTGAAGACTAAATAATCTTTGCCCTTTTTTTAAGAAAATTTCAAAATATTTAGCGAACAACTAATCTTAATATTTACTTTATTTATTCATTTCTTTTCTTTTTGGGGGGGAGGGTTTCTCAATTAAACTCATTTATGTAATTTTGAAAAGTTAGCTGAAAATTCCTTTTTTCCATTTTCGGAAGTTATCATAACTATACTGTCTACCTTCAATATGAATTCAGAAAACTAAATCATTTATATTTATTTAAATGTAAAGAGATTTTTAACTTATCAAATAGAAGGATTTTTTTTGTTCTGACCTGGCATCACCATAACATTGCATTAGTCACATGTCAGCTGATAACAGAAGGAAACTCATTTTATTTCTATCAATCTATCTTCTTTGTAATTTCTCTATATATTTAAAAATAACTCATCTCCTCATGTAAGTTACTAATAATCAGAGTTAGTCTTATTCCTTCAATTTATGAATCCCCGTGGCAGAATCACGGCGACATTGTCGCAGAATATTAGAGTTATTGCAGAAAGAATTTTCTTTTAGGAATTAGAGAATTCGGTTTTTCAGAAGCAGTAAAGAATTTTGGTTATCTGCAGAAATTTTTTATCTCTAAAATTATGTGTAGAAGATGCCTTTTTCGCACATCAGAGGGAAAAGAAATGTTCGTGATTTTTCTATTCTTATTTGAGAAGAATGAAAAATATAGAATAAGGAAGTTGAAAAAAGTTTCCTGCAGAAATGTTGAAAGATTTCTTCTCCTCCAGAAATCATTCTTTGACTCGCCCATTTTGCGTTGATATTCTCGTTAATCCATGAAGTATTTTAATCGTTCTTTAAGGCAGTTATTGCTTCAAATTTTTGCTCATTTTTTTCAAAATCCCGATGTCCTTCATTGCTTAGCTTTATTTATATTCGCGTGAGTTTTTGAAATATACCGATATTATTACGGCACGCGAAATTCGAATCACAGATTCAAGAAATTATTATTTGACGGGGTCGTTTTGCGCCGATATTTTCGTTAATCTACGCGGTATATTTAATTCGCGTGAATTCGCCATCGACCTTTTATTTTGGTAATCACTGCTACGGATTGCACGATTTTTAATATATATACAGGGTGATTCTAAAAAGATGGGCAAAATTTTAGGAAGTGATAGTACACACCCAAGCAAACAACTTTTATCAGAGAATGCATGGTCGAAAACAAAAAGCAAAGGTGCTGGCGCATTTGGAAAGTTTGATGCATTTAGTTCCAGCAGAACGCAGCACCAGCTCGTTACGTACGAGAAGTGCGAAACTATCTGGGCGTAACCTTTCCTATACTGTATATGTTCCTATAGCTTGGCTACCGTGCTCGCCTGATCTTTCATGTCTCGATTTTTGTGGGGACAGCTGAAGGCTCTTATGTATAAGACTCCCATTGAATCTGCAGAACTTGTCGCCAAGCTTTCGGCCGCTGCAGGGGAAGTTCGTGATATTCCTTTTGTGTTTCTCAGAATGTTCGCCTATCTTTTCTTTGCCGTTGTACTGCTTGCATAGCTGTTGCCGACCACTGTTTTGAACACTTATTGTAATCACATGCCATTAAATTTGCTTTTATAACTTAACTTCATCGCTCTTTGCGTGTTTTTGCCTCATATAAGAACATAAACTTTGACGCCCTCTAGCGGTTTTGCGTTTTGTTTTCGACCCTGCATTCTTTGATAAAAATTGTTTGTTTGGGTGTGTACTATCAGTTCCTAAAATTTTGCCCATCTTTTTAGAATCACCCTGTTTATATATATATATATATATATATTTTTTTTTTTGATGTCATGATTTACGAAAAGCGAAAAAGGAAATTATTAGTGTGTTTTCTTGTTTAGTAAAATGAGAGAATCTCGCCCATGATATTAGAATTAAAAAAAAATTTTGCATATTCATTTAAAATTAAATGCAAGTTTATTTTATTCAAATAGGTTTTCTTTTTCTTCTTCTTTTTTTTGTAAACACAGCGTTTTTGTTACTTTAAATTTAGTTTGTAACATGTATATTTCTTATTATTAAAAGCATCTTGCAGAAAGATATTAGTGCTAGAGAGGTTTGTCGCAGAATGCCCAAAACAATTCTGCACAGGGTTATGAACTATACTATGTGCTTTGCATTCACATTGTTTTCAAATTACATATCATGATTTTTATTCTAGCAAATTTAGGAATTCATTGTGATTTGTACTTACATTATCCACAATGCATTTCATTTTGACATGAATTACAAATAGAACACATCATGCTTGAGAATATATCAATCAGTGATATAGCTGATTATAGAAAACCATAATGAAGATTAAATAGGTTTTAAATGAAATCTTTCGCAACATACTGAGGGTCAGTTGCCAATATATTGCCAACTGACAGGGAGATTAAATTACAGAGTATGTCATATAATTTGAATCAAGATAATTGATTTTTTTTTTTTATAATCAGGCATCTCCTGTTGTAAATGTTTTTATTAACCTCAATGTGAAAATAAATAAAATCCTTTTTTTTAAAATATTTTCCTACATTTAAAAAAGTAATTAGATTTAGTTTGTTAATATATACACACTACCCTAAAATAATAGTAGAGACACTTTCAGTTTTTGACATTTTTTAAAATTTCTCAATTTCAAAATTTCTCAGAAAACTATTTATTAACTTTAGAGGTGTTTAGTTTGTGCGATTTTTCTTACTTAGCAATAAAGGTTAATGCTTTCAGAGATTTGAGTGACTGACAATAAATTACAAAAGAAATCAAGTATTTTTAAACATCCTATGACAGATAATCAAGAACTAAGCTTGTAACTTGTATCAATTACTTTGATTGATATTTTACTTTGAAATAGCAACACAAAATTTTCTAAACTTAGCTTAAATATTTCTGGAAATATGGACAATTTTATAAAAAATATATGTTTTTGTTTTACGTTATTAACTTTAAGATTATAATATAAAATTAAGCAAATTTTTTGGAACATTTTAAAATTTATTAAAAAATTATAGTTTTAAAATTTGAAATAAGTTTGACAAAAACTGCATAAAATATGAGTTTATAGTTTGACAAAAACTGCATAAAATATGAGTTTATGAAGTTATTTTTTTATACTGTAATTTTGTAAGGAATTGTATTTAGCTACTAAGGAAAAGAGTTTTTCAATATCTTAAAAATTTAAGACGTTTCAACCAATTTTCTAAATAATTTTTGTACTTTTTTAAAAAAAATCACAAAACGATTAGGATTTTTCACAAATTTCATTTTGAAGTCGCTGCTGTTTTTGCCAGTGACATTTTTAATAAATCTTGTTTCATAATACAAAATGAAACTTGTAGAAAAACCCTTATCGTTTTCAGCTTACTTTTAAAAAGTACAAAAACTACTTGTACTTTTTATAAATAAATTATTCTTGTATTATTATTCTTGTTCAAAATTGCCTGAAACTTTTTAAATTTTTAAGATATTCAAATCAGAATATTTTCATTAGTTGCCAAGTACAATTCACTACAAAATTCTGAAATTTTTTTTTAAAAAATTTCTGTGCACGCACAGTATAAAAAAACTACTTTAAGTACTCATATCTTAAGCAGTTTTTATGGAAGTTTTTTAAAATATTAAATCAATAGTTTTGTAGATAATCTGAAATATCTTTAAAAATTTTGTTTACTTTTGTAAAATATTTTTAAAGTTACAGCAAAAAAACATGGGACAAAGAAAAAAGTTTTTTATAATCTCCATAAATATTTAGCATAATATAAATAATAATAACCAAAATCATCAATACAAATTAAAAGCTTTTTAATTGATTTCCTGGCATAGGGTGATCAAAAATACTATTTTTCTTTTTGTAATTTATTGTTGGTGTCTCAAACTTCTGAAAGCTTTAAACTTTATTGCTGAGTATGAAAAATTTAATGAACTAAAAAACCCTGAAGTTACTGAATAATGCTCTAAGTATTTCTTCAGAAATTTTAAAAAAAATACCAAAAATTGAAAGTGAAAAAACTAAAAACTCTTCCATTACTGTAGGATTGTTTATATATATTTGTTTCAGAGTTGTGACACAATGAATGATTATATGGTGTCTTTGGCATCTAGAGGTCTGATGTTCAATTTATTCTCTGTGAATAATAGAAGGTGAAGAGGACTGCGCAAACCTCAGTTTTATGAAAGTTTTTCTAAGGTGTAAATGAAGATTCTTTGCCAAAATTAATATTATGTAATTTTACATCTGCTTTCATTTTTTTGTTTTTTATTAATTTATTTATTATTATTATTTTTTTACCTTACAGCAAAGGCGGTTGCAAAAATCTCTGTAGCATGCTTTTAGAGGCGAAACTTTATTTTGATAGATACCGCCCCCCCCCCCTTTTTTTTTCCTTCCAGGAATGAAAAATTAGAAACCCGAAGTGCTTCCAAAGGCTGTCCCTCTTAATATAAAATATCTGAACTTCACTGTACTTATTTGAGTGGTTGAAGGTTAATTGTTGTTTTGTAATATGAATTTTGTTATTTTTGTTTTCATAATATTACAGTCAATGCTTCCTTGCTTGAAAATATTCATTAAATTCTATGAAAATAGTTTTTTTTTTCCTTGGAAAAAAAATTATAGTCTTATTTTTTCTACTACTAAAACAGATACTATGTCATACTGCCTCAATTCAGAAGGAACCTAAGCTCATTTCAAAAGCTACTAAATCTTCAGGACAATATAGTTGGTATAAAATTTGTATGGCCATAAATAACATCATTTTTTTATAAAGTTTCATTATGCTCAAAATCTTTTAAAATATTTTTACTATATCTTGAAATTCTCAGAGAAAATATTTCTGGAGTTAATTTTCATTATAAGGAAGCATTGATCTTTCTGGAAAGCTTTAACTTTTTTAGACTTGTGAAGTTAATGCTAGATTCCTAGATCCAGCTAAAATATTCAAAATTTACATTTATTTGTTTTTAAAACGGGTATTTATGGTTATGAAATGTTGGTAACTTTTTAATTTGTATTTTGTTAGACAACTTGGATTTTTTGCAGCCTATGAATTAAGTGTTTTATATGTTCTTTTCAGGTTTTTCTCTTAGTATGAGACAGCTACAATTTGACTTAGTTCCTTATCTTTCAAAATTCCAATTGAAAGATTTAAACTGGTATTAAAACTTTAATATTGTATTTGAAGAAAAAAAATTATAGATAAAAAAGAATTATTTAATTTCTTTTTTTAACTTAGGTAGCACTAAGGAAAGAATTAGGAAATATGAAAATAAAAAAAGTTTTTTAGGTAATTAATTATCATTTTATGTTCTAATTTTTTAATTTTAAAACCTTGTAGTGATACAATCTGCTAATTAAGTCAATTATTCTTTGGAACAATTAAATTCTCTTCAATTTGGTTTTTATTGTTATTTATTTAGTTTTAAAACATATCAATTATATTTTTTTAACAAAAATTTAAAATATGTTTTGAAAAAATATGCATTACTAGTTATTTTTACATCTAAAAATATTTAGACTTGTCTTAAAGGTGAACACATATGATTGCTATTACTTTGTACTTGCATATTTACTATCTTTCTTTTATTCTCTAATGTAGTGTATTTGCTTGTTAGACCTTGTAAAATATTATCTTTTTTAAGGAATTTTGTTTTTAGTTACTTTTTTTCTCTCAATTTGATGGACTAGATATATCTGTCAATACACTGTCAGGAAAATGTTTTACAAATATGGAAAATGATATCTTCTGAAACACAGTACCTCGAATTTGGATTATAAAGGAAGTTCTGTGCAAAAATTGTGCTTACCATTACGAGGGTTGGTTAGTCCCAATGTTTGATCCAGGAGTTGTCTTCTGGGTTGGGTTCAAAATTTACAAGAAAACGTAGTTAAGCATTGATGGTTGTAAACCTGAAACTGAGTTGACTGCTCAATGTCAGTTATAAAATAAAACAAGAAGTTGTGCTAAAGATAAATGTGTCGAGATAATACTATCTTTATTGAGAGAAGAGGATTGTACTATTCTTTTACTCAATGTTGCACTAATCTCAGAATCCCTTAACATTAAATTTTTCAGCAACAGATTCATTCGAAATCTTGGCTTTTCTTTGATCTTGTCATTGAATATGAATCTCTAAATATTTTTTTAAAAATATTTGCACAATTTATTCACAACTATTCTTTCTAAAGAGTGATTACCATCAACGGGCACCAAAACAAATGTTGAAAAATAGCATCACGCTCCTGTGCTGTTCTCAGAGGGGCCAACCATTACAATTTCTCCATAATTATTACAATTTTGTACACAAAATAAGGGTCTAAATTATGGTTTTTAAGAATTTTCATAGCAATCTATTTAAATATGTTATTTTTCTTAACTACCAAGAGTAAAGAATTTTTGCATTTTGCAACTAATCTACGATAATTCTTTTTTACTCCTTGGAACCATTTCTAAAACAATACAAACATTAAAAAGTGTAGACTGTATAGGAAAACAAACGAACTTACACTCAAGTCTGAAATGCTGTGAGAAAATATTTTTAGTGATTTAAATGTAGTTGTCTGAAAAGGTAATAAGGGTTCGTTCTAATTTAACCAAAAATGAAAACATTGATTCCAAATAATCTATACAATTTTATCTGTTTTACAATTAAGTATAAAATTTCAGTGTCGTATATTTTTTAATTTGCCAAGGTATTGATTTTTTTTAATTTCATTTTATAGTAAATATATACCTAATTATACTAATTTTTTATGAATATATAGAATTTATTAATATATACATATTAGAATTGCGCTACTTGTGAATGCTAATTTGTATTGAATTCTATGTTGTTGTAAGGTTGAACTGTATTGTTCTAATGGAAATTAAATCATCATGAAAATAGAATAAATGCTGAGCATTGTGCTCTTTCATAAAAGATGCATCCTTTCAAGAAAAAAAATATTATTGTCATTTCAACACTCCCCGCTACCCCAGAAAAGACGTTCCAATCCTCCGTTCTAAAATTACATTATTTTTAATGCCAGCTTGGTGAGTCATTCCCCACATGTTAGCTAGTTTAGAAAATTTAATTTTGTTCTTGATACTTAATTTTAATCTTCTTAAGCATTTCAATCTGTTTTATGTTTTATCTTCACAAGCATTTTAATCTATTTTATGCAATGTATTCCTTCATTTAAAAGTGATTGGTTATTACTTTTGTATTTTTGATGCTGGCATTCCAGTACAATTTATAAATTGTCTAAAGTAAGAACTCCGCTGGCATTTCGTCTGGACTATGGTAATTATAATATGGAATTATGGTAGATATGACTATTCTAAGTAGGGGTGTGGGGTCACTGTTTAGGACAGGTTTTGGCTCGTGTCAGCAAGAGAAAGGGAATCTTTTTCTTCAGTCTATTGTGTTAGCCCTCACGTGAAGAGGAGTTACCCTCCCTGAAATGCGTTATTCTGTTTCCATAGCAGCAAACGGCTTCATATTTTGTAGCGGGTGGGGGGGAGTTCTTACCTCAGACAAACTATATAGACCTAACAGCACAATCTTCATATTCTAACCTTCATTTAGGATTCCACTGAGAATATTCCAAAAATTAGGCATAGTCTTACATATACCAAGCAAAAATTGTGTGTTAGATATAAAATTTAACACAAAATCATATTTTATGTAAATTTCAGAAATTCAACAATTAAATAAAAAAAAACATTCTTAATTTTTTAAAATTTTATTTATAATATATTCAAATGAATTAGAGAAAATTAATTAAAATTTTCATCATGGTTTCATTTCTGCTGATTTCAATATTTAAAAATACAATCTGAGTTAACTTTTAGGAAATCTTCAATTATGCTTGGGAAATAACACCTACTCTTACTGCGAATAATTCTGTCTGTTCCTCCAAAAATATTCTTTTCTCTTTTTTAAGTTTTATAACATAAAATTGAAGCAACAGGAAAGTGCAAGTTATATAGAATTATCTGAAAATTTTATTTAACTTTGGTTTATACTAATGACTTTTTAATACTTTGTAGTACTCTGGCAATCCACTTTTTTTTATTTGATGAGAAACAAACAAAAGTTTAAGTATGCTTTTTTTTAATGAAACTTATTTATATTTTTCAAAAAGGATGAGAAAAATCTTTCTCTATTTTTTGATCTTTATTTTAACCATTATTGATTTAATGATTACCTACTTGCTTTTATTCTTGTAAAATTTCAAATTTTTAACTATTAATGGCCTAGTGGAAAAGATGTTGAACGAAAAAAACCACTTTTGTTTTGAAGCGGAAGAGAGTGACTCAATTGATGAAGGGAACAATTCAATTATTGCAAGATAGATTGCCTGATGAAAAGATAGAAGAACCCAACTTTTGACCACGGATTGTGTATTGTGAAATATTTATATAATGAAGATATTTATTAAATGTTTGATTTCTTTTTTACTTGAATTAAAGTCTTTTTCTATTAATGGCTGATTGTTTTTTTTTTAATTGATTCAGTTTCTTTGTATGAGTGTTATGCTTTGCTCATTTTAATTTATTGTGTGAGTAACTCATCATTTTTAAATTCATCCCTTTTATTGTTACAAAAGGATACAAAAATGATCATTTGTTTCTGGGTTTTAAAAAAAGGTTTTTATACCATGGAGGTTGAGGATGTCTTAAACTGATTTTTGACAATACACTTGAGATTTTCTTCCAAAACTGTCCTATAATACTGTAAATAATCAAAATAGAGTGTCCTATAATACTGTAAACAATCAAATAACCAAAAACTTATAACTTGGAATATTTTCTGAATGGATTTTTTTCTAATAAAAAATAAATATTTCATATTTAGCTTTAAATATTTGTATATCAAGTAAAACATATTTTTAAGAATACATCTATGAATGTTATATTTATATTGTTTTAACTGTAAGGCTTCCTGGTAGCTGAGTGGTGCTTTTATGTACCTGTTCAGAATTCAGACCACAGCCTTTCATTGGGTCAATAAAATGTCAGGGAGAGCAGGGAAAACCTAGAAATAACATGGAATTTTATTTTGACTTTAAAAATCGGGGTAAGTTGTTATTCTTTACCAAAAAATTGAAAAATTCTTTCATTATACCTGATAAATGATCACTCTTAGAATCGCTAGTAAAAGTAAACAGTTATTGAGATTTGTTCGAAATAATTCTGATATCTGTTGCAGTTATTTGGTGTAAAAATATCACATTTTAGTCCAATTTTTATGTTTCCATCCTCATTCAATGATGTTTTTTTGCTCACAAAATCTAATATTTGGCTCTACAAATAAAAATTGAAATGATTTGTTGTTATTCTTGTAGACCATTAAGGCAAGGGGGTGCGATCTATGGTGAACGAATTCGACTTTTGCCGATCCCATACTTCACTCCCATGGCGGCCCCATTCTTCAATAGACCGTAATTTAAACCGGAAACAGAGAACGATCAATCTCCAATTCAGTACTCACAGAGGTATATTTCGTTATGGGGCCATGGAGGACATTGTGACCAGACATATTTAAAGTGCGCCAATCATCATTTACTACACGGTGAGTCTTCAGCTGGCTGGATTCGAACTCGCTTCCTCACGAACGAGAGTCCATCCTCCTACCAATAAAGTTATCTTTGTCCCATAAAATTATTTCTGATCAAAAATTACATGCTATTGATGATAGAAGACTGAATTTTTTTCTGAAATTGAGTAGGAACCCTGAATGAGAACTAAACATTGGGGATTTCCACTCTTGGCTGATCACTCAACTGGAACATTTGCTCTGGAACTCCAGAGCCTAGAGTCGCAAAAACAGGGATGAGTACAGCAGGCTTTTGCCCTTCATCCGCTGCTGCATCAAATAGTGTAGAATTTTTCTTTTTTTAAAAAAAATTTTTTTAACATGAAGATTAAAATGAGCTAATTTTAATTCAAATGTTTTGCACTAAATATCATTTAAAGGCCTGTATCAACATTTTCTAATAGATTAAATAAAGAATTTTTTAGTTAGGCTTTACATTACAGATTACTGCTATCTTTCTAATTTTTTCTAATATTACTTTAAAATTGTAAAAATAACTTTTTCTTTGCTATATTTATCAAGAAAATAAGCAAAAAAATAAATAATACAAAGAGATTTATTGAAAAAGTAGCATTGTTTTTCACTACATTGTAGTTCAGGCATAAAGCAAAGCATTCTTACAACATTGGCCGGGATAGCCTGGTCGGTAGGGCGCTGGGCCCGTGTCCGAGAGTTCGTGGGTTCGAACCCCGCCGGGCGAAGACTTCCCCGTGTAGTAAAGTGGCTGATGCATGTTAAATCTGTCGAGTCGCAAAAGTCCTCCATATTCCCATAACAAATCAATACCTCTGGGGGTACTGAATTGGAGATCGATCGTTCTCCGATTCAGATCAAAATTACGATCTGTGGATGCATGAATGGGTTCGCCCTATAAACGGGTGCGACGTATAGTGTGGCAGAAGTTGAATTCTTGGCCATGATGGTGCCACTGAAAAACAAAAAACGCACACTCTGCCTTAAATTTGCTCGGTTTCACCAAACAGGCTTGCCCGTGTGGCAAGTAGCAAAAACAACAACAATAGCCCATTGTATGCTAACAGGGTTAGGAAGGTTAACACTCCACAATTTAATGACTGTAAAACTAACTCACATTTTAAAAACTAGTTACATCTTGTATTTATTACTATCTGTTCAGGTATTGTTTAAATCTCATAGAAAAAAAAAATTTCTTCACATTTTTGGACATTTTTTTTAAACTTTAAAATATTTCAATATGTAATGCTATAAAAATAATAGTACCTTAAAATGTTGGCATTCCTGTAAGATACTGTTCAACCTCTTCTTTTGTATGAAATGTCTAAGGAGTAAAACATATATTTATTGTATGAGCAACAGTTTTAATGGAACTATAAAACAATGTACAGCAATCAAACTATTTTTTATATCTGTATATAAAATCACCTGTGCATGAAATTATTACTTGCGACTATGTATTAAATCTAATTAAATTGTTAGTTTTGATACTGATTGTTGTAAATCAACTCCTGTCTATTAAATATCTATCACTCTTTAAATATAGATACAGAAATGATTGTGCTCCGGAAAAAATCCGGATTTTTTGCTAACCGTGATCCGGAAATTCAAGGTCCAAAAGTTTCAAGAAATCATCTATCACATTTATGTATTGAAATTCTTGTATATTTTATTTAAAAATATTAGAACTAGAATTTATACTTGGCGTCTCTCTCATTTGTAAGTATTTTTTCTGGTGGAATCATAAATGTGAGTAGAGATACGAGTAAACTTATGCATAATTATTCATTTAAATTATGCTGCATATCATTTATTTAGAATTTCATGTTTTGAAAATTCCAATGATTTAAATTTATAATGACATTAATTTTTTGAAATGCGTCATTAATGATTTTACTCAAGAAATTTTCAGGATTTTTGAGTTGGGCTCACAATCACCCCTGTAGATATAAACTGAAATTATATAAAAATTGAATAAGATATTAAAATAAGACTTATTAACAAAAATAGCCTATTCAAGTTTTCTACTCCACAGGGAAAACCTGGAAAATACAGAGAATTTAAAAATCGCCTGAAATAACAGGAAAAATGCAGGGAATTTTTATTTTTTCTTACTTTTTATTTTTTACAATACTTCGGTATGTAATATAATTCGTTTAGGATTTAAATGCAGGGTAGATTTAAAAATGAAATGAAATTGTTACGTTGAAAACAACGCTGAGAATGAAACATAAACCTTTATTTTAATTCACATGGGTCCAATTCTTTCATCACTTAATATTCAGAGTTATCTTTAAAGAAACCCTTGATTGTATGGTAATCAGTTTTAATCTTTAAACAAAGTGAAGTAGAATTGTATTTATAATGTGCAATTTTAAAAGATTTTGTATGTCCTTTTTTTTAATTGAAATAAAATAACATAATTTAACAATCATCATATTTTTGCTGTTTCTCTCTTTCTTCCCTTTTCTATTGTTTATCTTAAGATTATATCTATTTGGAATAATTATTTTAAAGAAAATCAAACGACTACGGAGTGTGATGATAAGTAAATTAATAAATCGAAAAGAGCTATCTTTTTTTCACTAATGCAGGTGTTCAAAGAAATAAATTGAGGCGGTGTGTTTCCCTTTAATTCTTCTATTAACGGTGATACTTATTTATTTCCTTTCCCGCACTACGAAGGGGAGTACGCAATACGAAAGGAAATAAATACTAATGACGGTGATAAGGGCCGGAAAGAACATAAATACGAATTTTTGAAATTTGCTTGCAAAATCACGTAATTTTTCCCAACAAGCTTAATATTTATTTTATAATTATACTTTTATCAAATATTAATTTGATTTAATTAAATATTTGGTGATCAAATATTAATTTCATTACTTTGATTTTTCGTTAGTAATCAAGTCTAATTTTTCAACGAATTTTTGAGGTATGTAAAAAGTCTTCGAAATTTTCGTCTCTTATATTTATTCGATTAAATATACACTGGGGGTTTCGCGTTCGGCTGACCACTTGACCGGAACATCTGCTCCTGCACCCCAGAGGCCAAGAAAACTGAGATGGGCACAGTAGGCGTTGGCCCTCTATGGGCTGTAGCACCACCAGTTTAGTTTAACAATTTTAAAAAATCGGGAAAGATCTGTGTCGAATTTCAGCGAGTCCACTATATCGTTAAAAATGTTTGATAAACTTATGGATTTTGTTTGTTTTAGATTTTTTGTAATTTATGAGCTGTTTTTTTTCTTCTTTTTTTTTAACACTAGAAAGACGGTAAATTAGTATTATTGCCCAAAAGCAGTCAAAATGACAGGATTGTGAATGCGTGAATTAATTTGTTTAAAATTAATTTTTTACATTATTTACAGTTATATAACAAGTTATTAGAAAATATTAACAATAAAAAAATTTTATGTTGTACAAAAAGTCTCAAAATTCTAAGACATTGTGTCATTATATACATCGTTGTTTTTCTAATTGAAATTAACAGCAGTCAAAATGACTTCCTTAGGCAATCTAGTATTAAATACGTAAACAACTGAAGAATTTCTTAATTATTATTACTAAAAGTAAACATAAAAATTCAGGGGTCATTAACTTTAAAAAAAAAAAAAAAACTCTCTATATCGTTAATTTTTCGTGCCTTATATTTATCCGATTAAATATTGATTTCAGACTCTTGAAAAATTGTAAAAGTTCCCTATCGAAAAGAGGGACCATCCATTAATTTCTCAAAACTGTTTGGTCTAACTTAAAAATTTCCTTGTTTCAGAATTTTTGAGCCTTTAAAAAAATAGGCTCAACGATTTCTTAAAATTGAATCATAAAAGTTGAGGGGTCTTTTATTTCTATTATTTTTTAAAAAATGTTATCTTGTGCAAAAATTCTTTGATT